TGATGTTAGAAGGGAGAGACGAGATCCCAATGATCTAGAAATCATCCCACTCTAAGGGAAATAGACACCATGAATCTCCTTCCTTCCCTCTGATTGCTTTCTCCACGACCTAGGGCAGCCCTTTGTTTTGTGGCTCTCTAATGCACTTATGCAATGCTGCATATTACACTTATTTGTTTTGTTGTTTCAGCCACTTGGACCATCATAAGCTCCACGATAGCAGCAACTGTGTCTTGTTTAAATTTTATATCTCCTCATAGTACTCAGCATGTGGTAGGAACTTCATATTTGCCAAATGAATGGATGGATGGATGAATACAAGAATAAATGGGTGGGTAGGTGAGATATGTATCCAAGCATTCCTGTAACATAAGTCTTGTACCCTACCCTTGGCTGTAGGTGAGGAGTGCGGGTCAATCTTTGATCCCCTACTGTTTCTTAGGACCTACATTTTGAACCAGCAAGAGGCATGCACCAACTTATTAACCAGAGACTCAGCCTTAGCATGGCTCTTTATTGGCATCCTGTGTCAGCACAAAAGATAAGGCAACGAGTATGTGGCCTAGAGCAGCGTTCATAAGGTAGAGCTGGAGAAATGGGAGGCCAAGAGGTGAAGTCAAAAGGAAGAAGTGACATTTTGGATCCATTCCCTGTATTTGTGAACTTTGGCAAAGAGCCCACCACTTCCCTGCAGAACACACCCATATGACATGGTCAAAATCCCATGGATCCTTCCATCACATATGGCTGGAACAGCTGAGATTTCCTGCCAGTGAGGAAAAAAAGAACACGTCAACAAACAATTTTGAAAAACTAAAGAACTCTAATCAATTCAAATGTCAACTCTTCCGACCAGCGGAACAATGATAAAGCATTCTACCTAGCTCCTGGCAGTCGTGATGAACTAAAGTACAGAATGAGACAGATTTCTAGGCCTGGACAATATGGGAATTTGTATAGCTGAACTATGCCTTTTTCTTTTTGGTTACAAGAGTTTTGTTTTCCTTTTTTTCCCATGGGGGGCATGGATGGGAGAAAAATATATGCTTGATAATTGAAAAATGAATTTGAAAATTGAATAATTTTTAGTAAAAAGGAGAAAAAAGAGCTTGTTAAGCAGACTGGCACAATGTTAAAAACAATGTGGCTTTCCAGTGCAACAAGTTGGATTTGTATTCTGCCTCTTATACGCTAGGTGACTGTGGACAGGTCACTTCATGAGGGAGTTGCGCTAAATGACCTCGAAGGTGTCTTGTGGAACTAAATGCGACACCTCGATGTTCAATTGTGTCTGATGTTTTTGTGAGAACTATTTTTGGGGTTGTATTGGCAAAAAGACCGGAGTGGTTTTTGCTGTTTGTTTCTCATTTTACAGATGTGGAACTGAGGCAAACAGGGTTAAGTGATCCTGCATTTAGGATTTCTAGCAGGAGAACCAGGGGTCTTAGAATTCATCTTCCTTTCCATCTGTCTGTCTATGTCTTCTCCATCCCTCAGGAGGCATGCAAAGCCAAGCCTAAATCCACTTGCAGGGGAAATTGGGTAGCTGTGGGCCTGCTTGCCCAGAGAGCCCTCCCTTCCTAGTTTAGGACTCCAGACTCCAGACTCCAGACTCCAGTTCAGGGACAGAGATGGGCAAAGACTTTGCTGTTTAGTCCCTCATTCCCTGAACTCAGTATTCAAGGAGGTGGAGTAATGATGGGTGTTACTTTACTTGTTATTGTGCTATCTACAGCTATAGCACCCTTATCCCTGTTCCTTTTGTCTTCTTTCTCCTCAGGGACCATTGCAGAGGAAGGGATGAGCTACCTGGCATGGGCTTATGAAATCATCGTAGAATCCCACACACATTGTATTTGCTGACAGTTTTTCTGGAAGCACTTTGGCACATTCCTCATCAGGGAGAATGTCATGGATTACCCAGCTCAGGATATCTGGGTGACTTGCTACAGGAAAGAGGAGAGAGAAACCGAATCCTAGGGTTACTTTCACCAATAGAATCTAAATTATATGCTCCCCCACAGCACCAGTTATACTCCCAAAATTATACTACCTACCATCCTTTTAACATGGCCTGCAACTTCCTCCATTTGTGATGCTTTCACTGTCCTCCATTATCTGCCCTCTCCCCACATTTCCAATTACTGAAATTCTACCCAATTTTTGAGGTTCAATTCAAATGCTACTTCCTCCATGAAGTCTTTCCTGATCTAGCCTGAAATGCTCTCCCTCTTCTCTAACCTTTTAAGAGGACCTTGTCATTATCTTTTGCTTAGCTTATACTGTGGTATTTAAAATGCTACAACCTGACCCCTTTCCATCTTTCCTGTCTTGTTCAACTTTACTCTGCTACATATCTTCTATGCTCCAGCTATATACTGAGTTACTTACTGCTCTTCACACATGACATACCATCTACCTTCTTGGCCTTCCCTCGTGCCTGGAATGCTCTCCCTTCCATCTCTGCCTCCTGGCTTCCTTGCCCTTCTAAAAAGTTTATAGCAGCTCTCTTTGTAGTGGCAAGGAACTGGAAAGTGAGGGGATGCCCATCAATTGAGGAATGGCTGAACAAGTTGTGGTATATAATTGTGATGGAATACTTCTGTGTTGTAAGAAATGATGAGCTCAATGATTTTAGAAAGACATGGAAAGACTTGCATGAAATAAGAGGAGTGAAATGAGCAGAACCAAGAGAACAGTGAATATAGTAACAGCAATATTGTTTTAAGAATGGCTTTGAATGAATATTATTTTGTCAATTATGAATATCCAAATTAACTCTAAAGGATATGTGAAGAAAAATGCTATCTGCATCCAGAGAAAGAACTGATAAGTAGAAGAACAAATCAAATAATTTTACATATGTGTGTATGTGTGTGTTTTTGCTTAGGCAATCGAGGTGAAGTGACTTGCCCAGGGTCACACAGCTAATAGTCATCAAGTGTCCGAGACTACATTTGAACCCAGGTTCTCCTGACTCCAAGTCCAAAGCTCTACCCACTGCTCCACCTAGCTGCCCCATATGTGTGTGTTTCTGATGATAGCTGTCTCCAGGGCAGGGAGAGGGGAGGAAAAAAAAGAAAAAAAATTACATGATAATTTTGTTGTGTAATTGAAAGGAATAGCAAATTGTGCATAGCTGATTTGCAGTTTCATGTGCAATGATATTTTTTATTGTAGTATGTTATGAAAATGCTTTTTTATTCCGTGATGAAAAAAAAAAGATTTAGTTTCTACAGAAGGCCATTCCTGGTTCGCACCAGTGCTAAGGCCTTCTTTCTGAAATTACCTTCAATTGTATGGATTACATTGTTTATATCGTGTGTGTATGCATGTATATATGTATATATCCATGTATATGTATATGTATACATATATTACACACACACACACACACACACACACACACACACACACACACACACACATACACATTTTCCTGCTGTCTCCCCTACTAGCTCGTTGAAGGCTTGAACTATACATTTGCCTTTGTTCTTATCGTTTCTCCAGGGTTTAGGACAGTGCCTGTCAGATTGTAATCAATAAGTGTTGACTGACTGACTGACTCATACTATTTCATTGTGTATTATAATGGTTTCTGTATATGTCCACTCCCCTTACTCGAGTGTAAGCTTTATTGAAGGCAGGGACTATTTTATTCATCTTTGCATCTTCCTCAGAGCCTACTACACTTCTTTAAGCATATTAATGGTTACAATAACAATAATAATAATATAAATATAAAAGAGTGCTAGGACCTTCTCTATCAAACTGAAATTTTCAGTGTAAGCATTTGTACTTCAGAAATAGGTAGATATGAGAAATCAAGGTGTGATTTCTTGTTTTGTTGATGATCTAGACTTAAGAAAGTGATGGAAAACATGCTAATAGTATAGATTAAACATAAAAATGTATCATTTTTTCCCCCAGGAAGATGTTTCTTAAACATTTATCAGCACACCCCTGGTTTCCTTCCTGCTCCTCAAGAGGACCACCTAGTCTACCTCTAGAGATTCTTCAGTAAAAAGAAGGGCTGCTATTATGAAATCTTGCCTAAATGTGCCTGTGACTAAAATTTGGGATCAACTAAACCCAGGGCAGATATACGAATGGGTACAGTAAAGTGGCAATAAGGGTTCCCTATTCCCCCTTATTTTCCATTCACTTAAAAAAAATCCCTTCATGGCTTCGTCCTTCTTCCTCTTCCTTCCCCAATTTAAAGTGCTTTTCGGTTTACAAAGAACTTTGTTTACAACAACCTGTGAAATGAAGCCAGGCCAAGTATTATTTTACATTTAAGAAAACTGATTCTTACAGAGGTTGAATGACTTGGTCAGCTGTTTACCAGTCACCTCTGTTTGCCAGAATGTTGGTCCAGGGTTACTTTGATACTCCTAATCAATGGACAATGGCACCTTCTGTGAAGAGGCTTTTAGAAAGCTGTGATAATGTCTACCAATACTCTGTGAAGTTTTTGATTGTTTAGTTTTCAAATTAATGTTCTTGTAAATAAACAGACACTTGTGTTGCATATGTGTATATATATATATATATATATACACACACACAATATTATTACATAATATTATATTGCATATATATATATATATATATATATATATATATAATGTCATTAAAGTCAGAGAAACCCATCAGTTCACATACTCAGGTTAAAACTAATTTAATTTTTCTCATGTTTTAAATTAACGTTATCTAATCATTGATGTGTAAAATATTTAGTGATAACCTAAGAACAAAACTGATGAGTTGTGAGGTCTATATTTTGCTTCTCACCATGGCTGATAAATGTCAGAGCTAGGTCTTCTGACTACAAGTACAGCACCTTTTCTCCAATACCAGTTGGATGGTTGCAGCTGATAACCATAGCCCTTTCAAGTTCTTATTGGACCCCTTCTAGACATTTCTCCCTACTTGCTCCTATAAATTTCTAAGATATCCCAGTAGTCGAAATGGCTCAAGAGTTCGTTGAGGGCACTCACAGTTATTCCATTGTGTCCAGATCCATCCGGGGATGAAACACCTTCTAGTTTCAGAAGGAGCCATGGCCAGGGCCACTGTGCCCACATGTTTGTTGAGATTGGCAGGCTTATTTAACTTAATCAGCATGAGGTTGTTGTCCAGGTTTTTGAGGTTGAAGTCAGGGTGCTTGATGTTGACTAAGCAATTCTGGATCTGCTGTCTCTTTTCCTTTACATTGGGTTGAAGAACTCCCAGCCTGATCTGAGACCTTTGAGAAAGGGAACAAATAAAGGTGGGGAAGGCGTCGGGGCAAAGAAGAGGTATGATAGGTCTTGAAAGCATGAATTAATCATTCCCAGACACTCTCAAACCATCCAATGCTGAATGTGACTTAGGATTCCTCATTTCCATAATTACTTCTATCATTTAAAACTCCTTCCTATTATTGCTGTAAGAGTAGAGAACATATTTCATTAATCTGCACCCTGTTATGTGTTTTCTTTTCCCAATTCATACCATAGCCTTTGGGAATATTTGGAGGCAGTATGATATAATGAGAAGAGAAGGAAGTAAGGAAATAGTTTTTCATCTGAAGTTGATCACTAACTTTTTGATAATGAGAGCTGTCCCAAAGGGCAATGTGCTGCCTAGAAAGATAATGAGTTCCTTATCACTGAAGATCTTCTAGTGGCATCTGAATGGTCAACTTGGTGTGGAAGTTGTAAAGGGGATCCTTGTGTATATAAGGATACCTAAGGAAGGGATCTCAGAGATCTCTTCCATCAATGAGGTTGTGTGAACTAGTTAAGTGACGCAGATCAAGCTATTTTACCTCTGTTTCAGTTTCATTTTATGTTAAATAGTGGAATTGGACTAGATCATTAAGGCTTTTAAAATTCTGTGACTCTATGATTGTTTGAAGAGCCTACATTGTGTTTTATTTCTTTTGCCTCTTTCATAGGACCAAGAGCCATTCCAGAAACATGATAGGTGTTCAATAAGTACAGTCAATCCTCAGTATTTACGTGGCTAACTTTCATGACTTTAAGCGTTCGGGTGATTTTATTAGTAACCTCATTTTCATTTTCGAGTTGGCAACCTCACACATTCCGGGCTATGCACATTAGAGAAAAAACTGAGAGGCACGGTGTGTGCAAGTTTGTGGAATGGCTGGTATCCCCTACTAGGTACTTCACTGATCTTGTTCAACCTACCAGTGTAAAGAGCTTCCCATACATTTGTTGCATATTTTCACTGTTTGCCTTTGAAACTCAAGTTCTGTGCTACAATTATGCCTCCAAAGCATAGAGCAAGTCCTTTGGGTTCTCTGATGTGGAGAACTTGCCAGTCTCTGCATGTTTGGGTAGCAGTGACTAAAGTCCCATCAACCTCTTGGTTTTCAGAGGGTGGGCAAAGGTACAGAGGTTAGCAAGAGCATAGAATATAGTGCAATGCCCTGACACTGCAATCTGATACAGTGGAAGATAAGAATCAGGTTAAAAAATATTTTAGTTTTAAGAATTTTACTTGCTGTATACAGTATTTATGGCATGGTAGTTTTGTGTGCTATAAAAAATGAATATTGCCTGAAATTAATATGTTTTTTCAATTCAAGTGGTAGCATAAAAGGTCACAAAATTCTAGGGAATTATTAGTGAGAAAAACATTTTGTACGTTAACAATTTTATCTTCTGTACTGCATTTTGTGGGTTATTTCATGGTTACCGTGTTAGGAAAAGCACATGTCATCAGAATCAAAGATTTTTTGTTATAAAGAATTGTATGCAGAAAAGTGTATTTTCAGCACTCTCTAGTGAGTGATTCCAGTTTTTGGTGGTTACAGGAACCTAACCTCTCATTCCCCCATACGTTTAATGTATCAACATTTACGTTTTTGACATGCACATTTTCTAGGAATGTCACCCCAACAAAAGTTGAGGGTTGACTGCATGTGTTGAGGTTAATTGACTTGAACATCCATTTACTGAAAAACCAGGGACAAAAGAGCCCAGAAACCCCCTAGAAACTCACTGAAGTGTTTGGGAAGGTGTCAATCACACCCATCCTTGGGTATCACAAAAATCCATTTGAGCCCAAGGGAAAGGTCAGCAGTTGACTATGAGACAGAGCCTCATAGAAATTTCCCCCTTTCTACATTTCCTTTTCTACATTCCCAGTCCTGGACCCTTCTCATAACTACTGGGAATGTGATGATAACCATAGAAGCATACCATGCTAGAAGAGAAGGGACTTCATGGTTCTAGACCAACTTTGTCATTTTATAGGTAAAGTGATTTAACCTTACCTCCCTAATTTTAAAATTTAGAAGACTGGTAGGAACAAATGTACCATCATTACTCATGGTATGCTGCAGTGAGTTGCTGTCATCACCCACTGAGAGAGAATCAGAGTCCCAATGCAGAATGGGGAACTGGATTTCAGGTAGGCCATATAGGGGATTGTAGCATCATCATAATTGTTTCCCAGGGAAGCCAAGGTCAGCTCAGCTGGTTAGTTTACAGAGACAGAGGCAGAGAAACAGAAAAAGGTGAGATTTCAGAATACTCACGGGCAGCAGGCTCTTTATCACTTCCTTTCTAATACCCTTTTCTATGAGGTTTCTCTATCCTATACAGGAAGAGAACATGTAATTACAGAGAAAGGGGAAGGAGATTTCCCTTTGGAAGACACAAATTCAAATTTTTTTCAGAATGATCCCAGGACAGAGATCCTGTACAATGCATTTGGCTTAGCCTAAAAACAGGTAACTAAAAGATCCTGAGAGGATATAGGTAATGGCTTACATCGAAGCAAGAGATTCATCTCACAGATAGGTTATGAGATTCAGTGACTTCCTGCTCCCATCACCCATCACTACAATTCCTGAAACCTCTTAAGCCCTCTTGTTTCATCAGTATTCAGTTCTTATTAGCTACTAGTGACAATCTTTCTTGCCAAATTTTCTTCTTCTTTTTTTTTCCCCAAAAGGTCTCTAACCTTTCTTGAAAACAGGAAACCCACAGATTCTCACCAGCTGCTGTCAGGAGAACAAAGAAGAGAAAGCATTTCATAGTGGAGTTCAGGTGGTATTACAGTGATGAAGCCAAAAGTCAACTACTGCTATTAATCCTGGTTTACATTTTAGGTCAGGGGCATTTGACAACTATAGTGATGGCTAGAGAGGTTTCTTCTAGCTATAGCCTGAATTAAAAGAATTCTCAAGGACCTTGTGGAAATCTTGGAGATATCTACTCTTCTCAAGGTCTACTTCCACAAAGCAACATGTCAGTCTCCTCTAGAGGCCGTTACAGGTGAGGAAAAGGACAATGGCTCAGTGTCTCAACATCCTCACTGATATTTCTTTACTCTAGAAATCTCCTGCTGTCTCCCGATCTCCTGTCCCTGTGGAGGAATAGGAGAAAAGAAATTTTGTATTCAGTGTTCAAAGGTTTTCCCTCCATAATCATCCTGTCACTTAGTTTATGACATGTACCCATTCTCTGTGTCATAATTATATTCCTCCTTCCCACCATTTGACTTGTTTCTTCTATATGACCACTCCCTTCATTTTGACTGTGGACCTCTGCCCCTCTCCTACACTAGGAAATGGGCATCTACCCTCTGGAAAACTTTTCTCCAATATACGCTTTTTTTTTTAGAGTGAGGCAATTGGGGTTAAGTGACTTGCCCAGGGCCACACAGCTATGGAGTGACATGTATTTGAGGCCAGATTTGAACTCAGGTCCTCCTGACTCCAGGGCCAGTGCTGTATCCACTGCACCATCTAGCTGACCCCAGTACACACTTTGATGACAGGTTGACAAGCTATAAGAAAACAGTGCATTTGGTCAAAAGCAGTTAGCACTTGTGTACAAGAGTGTGGCTTTTTTGAATGCCTATTGAAATAAACCTATAATGCACCAAACATACATATGCCTGTTGTCACAGAGGAAAATATATATATTTGTAACATATTTGGGCAATTATTTACTGCTTAAAGTGCCATTTAAGAATTTTTAGCATGAATCTCTCAGACCACTTTCTTTTTTTTTTCTTTTTCGTTTTTCTTTTGGGGAGTTTGCTTATTAATTTATTTTTAGTTTTCGATGTTCACTTCTACAAGATTTTGAGTTCCAAATTTTCTCCCCATCTCATCCCTCCTCCCACCTTGAAGACAGAATGCATTCTAAATACTCCTTCACATAATCTGCCCTCCCTTCTATCTCTCCCCCCTTCTCTTATTCCCTTCCCTTCTATTTTCTTGTCAGGTAAGGCAGATTTCTATACCCCATTGCCTGTATATCTTATTTCCCAGTTACACATGAAAACAATTTTTAGCATTTGTTTTTAAAACTTTGGGTTCCTAATTTTCTAACTTCCTCGCTCCCCACCCTCCATGAATGAGAAGGCAAGCAACTTGATACAGTTCATACATGTGTAGTCATGCAAAACACTTTCATGGCAGTCATGTTGTGAAAAAAAAAAAAGTAACCATATTTCCCTTCTTTCTCTCCCAGCCCCCATTTATTTTATTCTCTCTTTTGACCCTGTCCCTCCTCAGAAATGTTTGCTTCTGATAACCCCCTCCCTCAATCTGACCTTCCCTCTAATACCCTCACACTCTTTTATCCCCTTTCCCCCTAATATCCTGTAGGGTAAGATAGATTTCCATACCCAATTGAGTGTGTATGTTATTGCCCCCTTAAGCCAAATCTGATGAGAATAAAATTCATTCATTCTCTCTCACCTTCCCCCACTTCCCCTCCGCTGTAAAAGCCTTTTCTTCCCTGTCACATGTGAGATAATTTACCCCATTCTACCTCTCCCTTTCTCTTTCTCCCAGTATAATCCTCTCTCACCCTTTAATTTTATTTTTTTAGATATCATCACTTCATATTCAACTCACCCTGTGCCCTCTCTCTCTCTCTCTCTCTCTCTTTCTCTCTCTTTCTCTCTCTCTCTCTCTCTCTCTCTCTCTCGCTGTCTCTCTCTCTCTCTCTCCCTCTAGATATAACTATAATTTTTTTCCCCTCCAACTACCCTAATACTGACAAAGGTCTCATGAGTTACAAATATCATCTGTCTGTGTAGGAATGTAAACAGTTCAACCTCAATAAATCCTTTATTACTTCTCTTTCCTGTTTGCCTCTTCCTGCTTCTCTTGAGTCTTGTATTTGAAAGTCAAATTTTCTATTCAGCTCTGTTCTATGCATCAGGAATGCTTGAAAGTCCTTTATTTCACTGAATGTCTACTTTCTCCCCTGAAGGATTATACTCAGTTTTGCTCGGTAGGTGATTCTTGGCTGTAATCCTTTTTCCTTTGACCTCCAGAATATTATATTCTAAGTCCTCCAGTCCCTTAATGTAGAAGCTGCTAAATCTTGTGTTATCTTGACTGAGTTTCCACAATACTTGAATTGTTTCTTTCTGGCTGCTTGCAATATCTTCTCCTTGACCTGGGAACTCTAGAATTTGGCTACAATATTCCTAGGAATTTTCCTTTGGGGATCTCTTTCAGAAGGTGATCGGTGGATTCTTTCCATTTTTATTTTACCCTCTGGTTCTAGAATATCAGGGCAGTTGTCCTTGATAATTTCTTGAAAGATGATGCCTAGGTTTTTTTTTTTTTCCATCATGGCTTTCAGATAGTCCAATAATTTTTAAGTGATCTCTCTTGGCTCTGTTTTCCAGGTCGGTCATTTTTCCAATGAGATATTTCACTTGTCTTCTTTTTTTTCCCCCATTCTTTTGGTTTTGTTATATACTATCTTGATTTCTCATAAAGTCACTAGCTTCCAATTGCTCTATTCTAATTTTTAAGGAAGTATTTTCTTCAGTAAGCTTTTGGACTTCCTTTTCCATTTGACCAATTTTGTTTTTTAGGGCCTTTTTCTCCTCTTTGCATTTTGGACCTCTTTTGCCATTTTGGTTAGGCTATTTTTAAGGTGTTATTTTCTTCGGTATTTTTTTGGGTCTCCTTTAGCAAGCTGTTGACTTGTTTTTCATGATTTTCTTGCATCACTCTCATTTCTCTTCCCAGTTTTTCCTCTACTTCTCTTACTTGCTTCTCAGAATCCTTTCTGAGCTTTTCCATGGCCTGGGACTGATTCATATTTTCCTTGGAGGCTTTGGATATGGGAGCTTTGACTTTGTTATCTTCTTCTGATTGTATGTTTTGATCTTCTTTGTCACCAAAGAAAGATTCTATGGTCTGACAATTTTTTGTGCAGTTTGCTCACGTTTATAGCCAATTACTTGAGTTTTAAACTCTTTGTGAAGGTAGGGGTGTGCTTCCAGTGTGGAGAATGTACTGTCTCAAGCTTCGGGAGTTTTGTGCAGATGTTTTCAGAGATACTTCTAGGGACCTGTAAATTTTTAGTTCTTCCAAGGTGGTGTGATCAAGGGTGAGATGTTGACTCTTTTCTTGGCCTGTGCTCTAGTCTATGAGTGATCACAAGTACTCTTTTCTGCTTTGGAACTGTGCAGAGGATTTTCTCTTAACTGCCACTGCAGGCTATACCATGCCCGAGCTCTTCCTGGCCCTGGGACCGCCACCCAGAATTGTGACCCAGATCCAAGCATGGGCAAAGGAAGAGATTCTTGACTCAGCAGCAGCAAAGAAATCCTTGAAATCCCCCTCTAAACATTCACCTGATTTCCTTACTGTCTATGGGCCAAGAGTTCCAGAAGCAGCCACTGCCCCTGGGCTGCAGCGGGACTGGGGCTGGCACTGAGCTTCTCTCTCACTGTGGTCACAGACCTTTCCTATTGACCTTCTAAGTTGTTTTTGGCATTTGTAGGTTGAGAAATCTGGAAATAGCCACAGCTGCCTGTGATTTAGTCCCTGAGGCCTGCTTCAGGTTCGCTGAGGTCTGGGCTTTGCCTGCATGGCCCACACTGAACTGTGCTCCTCTCCCATCCTGGCACAGTACACCTTTCCAATCAACCATCCAGGTTGTATTGGGCTGGAAATTTGCTTCACTCTGTCTTTTTGTGGGTTCTGCTGCTGTAGAATTTGTTTAGAGCCATTTTTAGAGGTATTTGGAGGGGTTTGGGGGGAGAACTCAAGCACGTCACTGCTTTTCCTCCACCACCTCGGCTCTACCCCTCAGACCACTTTCTTATGAACACCCAAGGGGTTTATAAAGCAGTAAATGCTGTGCCATTACCAGCTGTCTTGACCTTTGTATTGCCACCAGACCCCAGTGTCTCTGGAGGAGAGAGTGAAGCTGATGACTCTGTTGTGCAGCTCTGCCTCACTTAAATCCAATTCATGTGCAAGTTGAGACATCAGCCTTGTGATGTTATTGGTCCTCTTCAAGAATGAAGGATGAACAGTGAACCAGTAAACAGGAATGTGTGGGCCTTTGAGGTCTCTTCCAATTTTGAAACTCTATAATCATGTGATTAGCCATTTTGGCACAGAGACAAGTAACTGATTAAACTTTTCATAGATTTTTCAATACTACTATTTCATAAAACTTGAGCCTGAAGAAGTTATTATCCTCATATGTTCCTGTTCTCATGGAGAGTACATTCTAATGAGGGAAACGATGCATAAAGTTCTAGCTCCAGAGAGTACGTAATTTTTTTTTTGAGGCAATTGAGGTTAAGTGTCGTGTGTTTCACACAGCCAGTAAGTGTCAAGTGTTTGAGGCTGGATTTGAACTCAGGTCCTTCTGACTCCAGGGCTAGCGTGCTATCCAATGTGCCACCTAGCTTCCCCAAGAGTATGTAATCTGAAAGGAGAAGGAATGGACAGTTGGAGAGGAGGGACCCAGAAAGGCCTACTACAGAAAGTGGGATTTGATCTAAACCTTGAAGGAAGCCAGGGAAATTGAGAAGCAGAGGTGAGGGGTCAGAGCAAGCCAGGCATGATAGATGGCCAGTGCAAAGGCAGAAGAGGAAGCAATACTTCTCTGTCTTTCGGCCCATTTGGTTCCATAGACTGGAACACTGGCCCATGTGCATTAACATTGTTTTATACTTTGAAGGGGAGGGGAAGCTGGAGTTGCTTTTAAATGTGCTACTTTACAATAGATCAAAGTTACTTTTGAATATACCACTGGTGAATGAGCTACATATCCAGGGGATGGCAAAATTCCTTTGTTTATTCACGATTGAACCTAATAGATTTATCAGTTATTCTAGCTGGTTTTGTCTCTCAGTCAATAAAAATTTATTAAGGGTCTACTATGTGTCAGGCACTATGGATACAAAAAGACAAAAGACAATTTTTGTTCTTGAAGAACTAAAAATCTAATGGGGAGACAATAAACAAATAAATATATACAAACAAACAAACAAAAGCTATATATAGGAGAAATAGGAAGTAAATAAGAGAAAGCAGGCGCTAGTATTACGAGAGGTTGGGAAAAGCTTCCTGTAGAAGATGGGAATTTTA